ACTGCCAGTGTGATTCCTGCTCCCCCTCCACCCTGGTTCACTGGCGATATGAACATTGGGCCATGACGCTCACGTTCTAGTGTTTTTGTGATTCACTGGAAGCTGAAGTCTGCTTGCTGCATTTAAAATGTAGTCCTACCTACAGGTTTATTAGCTGTCCAGTTTTCTCTTGTATCCCAGAGACATAGTAAATAAGTCAGGGCATTCAGGTAAAAAGAGAGTAAATGACCGAATATCTGTGTGCCTCGTCTGTAACAGAAGGTTGATAATATCTGGGTCTCACAGTTTGTGGGCAGTAAGGGAGATGCTTAGGTTTTCAGTAAATGTTGGTTTCTTCCCTTTCCATCCTTTCCTTCTCTCTACCATGGAACCTCTCTTGGTTAAAGCAGCCCTCCCCCTCTAACAGAAACGATCAGATGTGAGGGAAGTGGAATCATGTTCTGCTTCTGTGAAGGTGACCAATATGTGAATTCCATCCCTGTGCAGTGGCTGAGTGTGCTTGTTTCCAGGATGGCGCCATGCCCAGTGCACTGGGAATGGGTGTGAGTTTATTTCCAGGAAGGAAAGAGGGAAATGTATTTTTAAAGTAATGACTGACTTATACGTTCCAAATTATATCTATTGCTATATCTAAGACAAAGTGTTCCTAGTGCCTTAATGTCTCAAAATTTTAATTTATGTTAAATTTATTTATTTATATTAAATTTATTTATTTATATTAATTTATAAATTTTAATTTTAATTTATAATTTCTTTGTAATTTAATTATTTCTTTTTTTAAGGGTGATCTTTGCATGGCTGATACTCATTTTATTTTATTTTATTTTATTTTTTAAGATTTTATTTATTTATTTTTTAGAGAGAGAAGAGAGGGAGAAAGAGAGAGAGGGAGAAACATCAATGTGTGGTTGCTGGGTGCCATGGCCTGCAACCCAGGCATGCGCCTCAACTGGGAATCGAACCTGCTTTGGTTCACAGCCCAAGCTCAATCCACTGAGCTACACCAGTCAGGGCTGTAATTTAATTATTTCTTAATGAGTATGACCTAAATGGAAAAGAAAGAATATATACTTCCAAAGAAAATTTGCCATTAGAAATATATTAAAAATATTTTACAAATGTATTTTTTAAATTGGGAATAAGAATTGTGTCAGGATAAGTTATCTTTTTAGCAAATAAAAATAAACAGATGGAATAAATCCATTTCAGCCAAACTTCAACATATGACTTTTCTTCTGTATTTATTTATTGAGATTGATATATCTATGTCTTTATCTATAACTACATGTATATGTACATCTCTGTACCCCAGATACCACAAAGTAATTTACAAAAAGTTTTCCAAACAAGTATTAGTCTGAAAAAACCTAAGTGGAAATAGAATGACTAGAGACCTGAGAAGAAGACTGAGGAAAAAAAGCAGAAGCAAGATGAGCATAAACTGTCTCAGTACGTTTACTAGTAACAGTTTCTGAAACACATTTAGTTCGATTCTGAGCAAGCATGTGGCATCGGTAATTGTTTTTCAAAGGGAATCATGTGCTTTCATAAAATCAAAAGATAATTGTTCTAACCTGTGTGATTTTAAAAATGGGAGGAAAACTAAAATCCCGAGTTGTGGTACATTATCACTTTTATTTTTATTATTTTTGGGTGGAAAATATTCAACATATTTTCAAGTTTCTATTGTAAGAGGAAAGGAGGAAAATATTCCTTCAAAAATATAATAAATTAAAAGTACTAATATATTCACTCAGTGATCACCGAAGTAGACAAACCTGGCATACATTGTAATTGGGTTCCAAGGAGACAGGGACCTTCAAGGGAACTTTGAGAAAAGTGTTCCAAACCCTTGACTACAACTGTGAAAAGTAAGGTGAAATTAGGATTCAGGCAATGCTTCCCACAGTTAGATTACATGCTAGTTGAGTTTACGGACACCTTAGAAAACATAGAGTACAAACCTCTCATTTTGAAAAGGAGGAAATTCTATGATGGGGAAGGAAGTCAAAGACTGCTGAGGCAGTCCCACGGGGCCCTTTCATTCTTCTGTTCATTCTTCAAATGCAAAGAGTACCTTAGCCTTTGAATGTTACCTTCTGGATTAGGGGCAGGGGAAATCTCCTTCTGGAGGATCAAATTACTGCAATCAGAATAGAATAAACCAATTGTCTGCTAAGCATTTAAAACCCAATTCTGATTTCAAATATTTTCCTGTGAAAACAGGAAAGTATTAGTTTAAAAAATAATTTAATGACATCTCAGGACCTAAATACACTATAAGTTATCAAGTTATAATTACTGACCATGGGAAGCTATAGATATTCAACAGAACGGGTAGATCAAGAGGGTATTGGGAATTGTTCTCTGAATAGAGATATTTTTGAAGGTATTTTGGAGTAATGAGTAATTTTTCAATAGCGAGGTTAGATTTTTAAAAAAGCAAAATAGTTTATGAATGCCTTTAGGGTGTATGTATGTGAACATTAGAAACCTTAGGATTGTATGTCCTGCATAGAAGTGTGATGCCATTGGCCGAGTCAGAAAATTCTGACGTTTGACAAATGGATGGCATTTAGCTAAACTTACATTCTGACATTATGATAAGAATTAATATAATAAAATATACTTAACTTTGAAATCTGTTGTAATGGTAGCAAATTTTCTCTTTTCAACCTACCAGTGTCTTAGGGTTGTTGTTATTAAAAGCAACCTCACTATCTGCAAATATAGGCAAACATTAATGAATGAATTGCTCCATCCACATGTAAACATTCTGAGTTTGTGTGTTCCATTAAATTTTTTTCCAATCTGTCAATACATAGGATAGTGAATAATATTTCTACATGGCCAAACATTTCTCTGAAGTACTTGGACTATTGGACTATTGGCACATTAGGCAAAGGGAGGGGAGACCTAACTTCCATCCTCAGGAAGTTCACTGTATGAACTGAAAGCTTCTTTCTATATGTTGTGAACATTTTGAGTTGGTGAGTGTTTCTCCATTATGTGCCTCTGCTGGCCTGGGGTTCAAGTTCCCAGTACAGCATTGTGCACATATGGCCAAAGCCCATGAGAACAGGAATAAATTCAGTTCCATCTCTTCCTTGAAAATAGGCACTTCCCTCCATCTTCCCTCCCAAGGAAAGAGGCCCCCCACTATCTAACACCCTTTCTCTGATTATGGTTTATTTCTGTGATCCAGTAACTCTCATTATCCTCCCAGTTTCTATATTTTAGTCATCCAGCAAATACGTCAGAGATGTTTGTGGGAAAGGCACCATGTCAGGCACTGTGGGACACCAACATAAATAATATCAGGTTGCAGCCTTGCACGCAGAGAGCCCACAGGCTAGATGAGGAACTGACGCACTGTGCACACCCAAGCCTGGTACAAAGCAGGAGTCAGAAGAGACAGGATGGGGGTGGTGAGGTGGGTATAGAGGGAAATAATGGACATGTTTAGTTTGAGATCTTGAGGGAACATGCAAAAAGATGCTGATTATAAAAAAAATCAAGAAACTCAAATGTGGAGAAATGGTAGGGATGAAGATAAATATATTTGAGAAAAATACATAGAGAGGTGGTCATTGAAGCTGTGTATTTGAGACATGGCACTACTGAAGATGTGGACCAGATAAGTCTTTGTTGTGAGGGACAGTTCTGTGCATTGTAGTGTGTTCAGCAACATCCCTTACCTCTACCTCCTACATGTCACTCCTACCCCCTCTCTGCTTGTGTCAACCAGAAATGTCTCCCAGGAGCAGGACTATCCCTGACTGAGAACCACTGGATTAGAGGACAGAGAGATGGTGGGAAGAATGAAAGAAGATTATAAAAATTATAGTTTGGTGAAATAAGTTTATGGGGTAAGAGAAGGAAGAGAAAGACAAAAAGACACAGGGAAGACACATTCATCAAGGCAGTAAGTATTGTCCTAAAATTCTGGGGCAAGAGAAAAAACTTCAGTTTGTGACTGAACCTCAGCCTTGGTGAATAATTAGTATGTGCTCACACACCCAAAGAGATGTACACTGCCTGTATATATACATGCAGACCACTCGTGTATATACACAAAAATAATATATTGACCAAAAAAAAACACACTTCTAAACTCTTTCTCCATTCTTCTAATTTAATAAGACAGTTCAATTTTATCAAAATATTGCAAACCTCATGGCAACTCTTTTTGGAAAAAGGTTTAACTCAGAACCAATAAAATATGAAGTAAGTACAACTGTCTGCTTCCTTCTCTCTTTCTGTCATCCACATGCTGCATAATGCAGGCTCCCAGTATTCTCAAGTTCTCTCCACACTTCCCTAAGATGTAACAATAATCTCAAGAAAGATTAAGGTAAACTGTACATGGCTGTCATTCAGTGTGAAGACCAATTCTGTCTTCTCTTTTTAAAAATACTTTATTTATTTATTTTTAGAAAGATGGGAAGGGAGGGACAAAGAGTGGGAGAGACACATTGATGTGAGAAAGAAACACCAATTGGTTTCTCCTTGCATGCCCCCCCCAAATGTGGACTTGGCCTGCAACCCAGGCATGCGCCATGATAGAGAACTGAACCATTGACCCTTTGGTTTGTGGGAAAATACCCAAATGACTGAGCCACCCTACTCAGGGCTATGTCTCCTCTTCCGATGTTTACAAGAAAAACAAGTAGAAGACTGTTATTATTTTATTTAAGCCAAATAAGTGAAATTCTGAATCTCTAATTTTAGAAATTCAGGAGTCAGCAAACCTTGGCAGAGAGTTCCATGTAGATTTGCTTAGAAGTGCTTTCCTCAGAACCCCAGGAATCAGCCACTGTGGAAGCTCTGTCATGCCCAGAAGACTCAATTTAGTGCTCCTACTTAGGTGTCTGTCACACCAGCTGGATGAATCTCCTGATCTACTCCACACATGTCCCTACCTTGGGGTGGAAAAAGCATCCAAGATCCTTTTGAAAAGAACCAGGAAAGGACCTTAGAGAACAGAGAGCATTCATTGCCTAAGCATGTCCAGGAAACAGGTTTAGGGTGGAAGAGTCGGGGCGGAAGATTATTCCTGTGATGATCATCCTCAATGCCTTTCGAAACCAAGGATAAAACATGCCATATATGATGGGATTGAAAGTGGAATTGAAATAACCCAGCCAAAGGCAGATATTATATACATCTTCGGGAGTTGTAAAATTAATGAAAGGGTCTGTAATTGTCAAGAGGAAAAAGGGCAGCCAGCACAGCACAAACACTCCCATGACTATGCTTAAAGTCTTGGTGGCCTTGCTCTCTGTTTTGGATGATGCTTTCATTCTCCCTTCTGACCCAACCTCTTTCCTCATAGGACCCATGTGGATTTGCTTAGCATGCTTCCTGGCTACTGTGAAAATGTGTATGTAAATCCCCAACCATTACTGTCCCAGGGAGAAAGAAGGCTATACAGGAAGCCAAAACTCCCCAGAGCTTGTTAAATATCAACACACACAAACCAGTGCAGTCAATGGCTGCAACAAAATCTTCTATACCAATGATGTTTAATTCTGAGAATACCAGGCCAAAGGCAAAAAAGATGGGAATAGACCAACTGATGAGCAGAAAGACCTCTATGACGGGGATGGTAATTTTGTTGACATAATGCAAAGGGTCACACACAGCATAGTAACGATCCACTGAGATGAAGCAGAGGTGAAAAATGGAGGTGGTACAGAGCATGATGTCACAACAGCTGTGGACTTTGCAAAAGAGATCTCCATAGTACCAGCAGGATTCGATGGAACGGATCATACTGAAGGGCATGACCACGCAGCTCAGCAGAAGATCAGTGGTGGCCATGGAGAGGATCAGGAAGTTGGTTGGGGTGTGGAGCTGCTTGAAGTGAGTGATGGCAATGATCACAACCAGGTTGCCCAGTATGGTCATCACTATAGCACCAATCATGACCGTGTACATGGCCGAGACAGTCAGCACAGACCTCACATTTCTAGGGCATGAGTTGTTAACCAAAGCAAAGCAGACTTGTACTTCTGGGGCCTTCCAAAGTTCAGGTGAATTCATTGTCTTGGTGCCTTAGCTACTACAAGTCTTTTTGTAAAAGTACTGTGTTCCTCTCCTTTCTGTGAAAGAAAGGAAAAATGACAAAGATCATTGGCAACCTTTCAGAAAGGCCCAGCTAGCTGCGTTTCCAATCCCAGGTTGAACCCCACACTGGTCATGAGTGTTGCTTTGGATCCTGCCACTTAATACACAGTATACTCACAATATACACAGATATATACAACATAAACAACATGCACAAAGAAAACATTTCTCTGTAAAGTGCAAACAGTATAGTTTTTAGAATTTAGGGCAATATGTAGTAAACTGAAAATATTAAAGCCTACAATATAATGCATAACCTCACTTTGAATAACCTCAAAGTAAAAGGGAAAATATCTCAAATGATAGGCTGTATAAATCTCACAGGTTTATCTCCTTTTATTTAGGAGCAATTTCATGAATTCAAATTCAGGTTGGTGTTGTTCACAGATTTCATGTCTCATATTGGAAACAAATTTGACATATAGACCTGCTCATTGTTTAAGCTGTAGCTTTATATAGTTTATGCTTTTGCTCTTAAAATGTGGGATCAATGGAATTGACTCACCCAGAATATGACATGGGTTTGAATTGTTTTTCCAGTGCTGGGACTGGATGTGTGACTCTGATGACCAATGACAAGCACTAGTGAGATCCAGCGCCAGGTTGTTATGTGGACTTTGGCCTGAGAATACATTAAAAGCCCCTGGTCTGTTGAGAAAATGAGCCCACAAGCACATCTTACCAGATTTAATTGAAAAACATATTAATGAGAATGCAAGTACCTTTGACAGTAATATTTACAGTATTTGCAACTGGAGCTCAACATTCTTTCCCATGCGTATTAGTTGAAATCTTACCAGTTTAGCACATTTCATTTGATCTGGATATAGTAATTTAATATCTCAGATCAAAATTTTTCTTTAGTATCTCAGATTAAAATATTTTCTAAAATATTCTGACTGTAACAATCAAATATTATGCTATTAAGTTGAATTTGAGAAACAAACACATAGAGAAATAACATGTAAGAAGGACAAAGACTCATTTAACTTTCTTACAAACTACAGTCTATCGATTTTGAAACACAGCACAAATTACTTCATTACTTTTCACTTTGGTTTCTAAGCTCTAAGATCCTGATGTAATACAGTTTTACATACCTACTTACCTTCTTTATTAAATTAACTTTATTCTGCCTTTTATCTTCTTTGCAGTTGTGAATTAATTTTTTATTGAATTCATTTTAATGATCTATTAAAAATTGTCTTTAAGTACAACTAGCAATGAACCCCAGAGTTACTGAGGTACTTGCCTCCGTACGTGCACAGACACAGCATTCCTGAAACACAGCAGCCTCATGGATGAGTGTCCTGTGTAACGTTTCCCGGAAACAATGATTCATTTAACTCTTAGGTTTATAGGAAAATTTTATTTATTTTCTGTTAATTTTTTTGGAGAACATGACATGAAACAGCTGCTAGAAAATAGTAGTGTTATCTCATATTTCTGATGTATCATTGTATATAAGGGGAATATGTAAACCTCTAAATATTATAGTAAGACAAAAAGGGTAAGACACACATTTATTTAAAAAGTTCTTACATGTGTGAATTGTTAAGGTAATGTCGAAGTAGTAATATTTTTAAGCCCACACCTTCAAGTTTTGACCCAAAATTATAAAAACAAGTAAGAAAATGCCAATATGACTGCTGGTCTACTGCTTTGTTAAAAAAAAGAGATTTTCATGAACGTAAATGCAGATGGGGTTTGGTTTTTGTTATTTAAAAACTGAAAGGAATAGAGATTCTTTTCCTTTGAAGATTCAGTCCCACAAAAGATGCAGCAGTTTTTTAATAAAAAAAATAAAATTAAACCCTCTTTGACATCTCACTTTCATCATGGGACATTCATTGTTAAGCTTTTTTTTCCTTCTTTATCAAGAACATTGCGACAAAATAAATGAAATTAACAGCAACATTGTAAACAATCACCTAACAAAAGCATAGAAATGGTAATTATTTTTTGTTAAATTCTGTAAAAGAGCAAAGATTGCATTGTTTTTTAGTTCAAATTTAGTTCTTTAAGGGAAAAGATTACAGAGTAAGGAAACAGACACAAGGACTCTGAAATAATGATTTTGAAAATCTAAAAGTACTTTAGAATTTCAAGGAAAAAATGAAAAATGATGCAGTGAGTTTTCCTCAGGTATTAAATACCTAAAATTTTATTTCTGTATATGTATTTCCCTTAAATAAGAAGAAACATATTCAACAAGCTCAACAATGTGTTGTAAATAAAGTGAGAAATTAGGAAAGGGCAGATCACATCTGCTTAATCAGGCATGATTTTTCTTCTCTTACTGGTCACATGGCTGGACCACTCCACCTTTCAGTCTTTCTCTGAAAACAATGTTTGTATCTTGTTTTGATATATCTCACTTACACAGTAGCATTTTTTTTAGTTAAGGCAGGTTACTTATGAATTAGACTTAAGAAAGATCTGCAGTAGATCTTCCTCTCATTGACTTTTAAAAATGATCCACATTTGTCTTCATAGATCAGTATTTTAAACTTGATTATTTTCACCATGCACAAATATAAATCTATTTGATCTTTATCCTCTTTAATGTGTTCTCCTTTGGTTCCCCAGAATTTCTTTGGCTAATTAGGTATTTTGGAGCTAAAACCATTGAAAGGTGACGGATCCATTGTGCTCAAGTTTCTTACCATGCATGTGACCACTGTACTCACTGCTCTCTTCCCTGCTGAGTCCCCCTGAAAACCCACTTGGGCCTCAGCTCTCACAGGTAGGCTCCTGGCAGGCTGTGCTGCCCTCAGTTTTTATGCACAGCACATGCCCCTGAGGCTGTATTACCTGTGTCCCGTGTTTGAAGGAGTGTCCTTTAACAACCTTCAGGGTGCTGCCAGCAAAGAGATCACAGCAAGCCACCAGAGAATTGGCTTTGGGAGGATGAATCTGTTTACATGCTATCATCATCCCCATGACTTCAAAGGGATCCATGGACTAGCCTCACACAAGGCCAAAGTGGAGAAGAGTGAAAATATGAGAAAGAGGGAAGGAGTAGGGGAAAGAGGGAGGAAGGAAAGAAGGAAGGAAAGTTAGTTCACACCCAACAGATGCTCACTTCACTTATTACCAAATGCTAGATGTTTTCAGTGGGTCTTTAGTCCTTATGGGAAATGTGCCTCATCTGTGTCTTTCCATTTGGCTGGTATGCAAACTGATATTCATCCACACTGCAGTTCTCTGTCTGTAATTTCCTGACTAAAAGTCTTAGCCTAAATGAAAGCAATAAGAATCATGTTTCAAACCAACTGAATACAAAGTGAAAAGTGCCAGCATCACGTGTCAGGAAAAAAATAGCAAGAAGGCTCCAGGGGCAGGTGCTGAGGCAAAGGAGCGGAGGGGAAAGGCTGAGATGGGCCTGAAGCGAGGAGCGCCAGGCTTCCCAAGACATTTGTTCTTTCGTTAAAAGTGTGATGGCCTCACTTCACTTTAAAACTGCATCTCAGCAAGAGGCAACTTCAGATTCCTGGTGATGTTTGAAAGGCTCAAAACACAATTCAAAAAAAATTGCAAATGTTAAAGCTATTATTGTCCAATTCTGTTTAAGAAAAGTAAGGTTGGGGATTTCAGAAGTTCCCCGTATGGCCACTGATGTTCTAATTACTTTGTTCTTCTCTTATCATGCAGTCTTTGTACCAAAGGTGTTTCAAACAACTCATTTGATTCCACCCTGCCTCTCTGCACCATCCCTCACTCTCTAAGGGCCGAAAACTGAACTTAGAAACAGCCTGTTCTCCCTCTCCTCCTCCTTTCCCCCCTCCCACAGCTCAACCCCAGGTATGAGGAGAGATGGACACCATTGTTACTTACTCACATATGTCCCAATCTACCAAATAACAGAAGGTTCTCTTTGTCTCTAAATGTTTCACAGAAAAATTCCTACAAAGACTTTCAGCAAATGTTAATGATCTGACTTAAATCATAGGCATTGCAGTGTGGGTGAAACATATCTGGTGGGACCCTAAGCAACTTTCAGAGAAAGTGGTTAAACCAGGTAAAAGGCCTTGTGTTTGCTGGCCAATGGTATAGACCTACCACGCAGATTAAGAAGCTAGAGACGGAGGAAACCGGAAGTCATTTCAGATATAAGCCACAAAGTAAAAAATCACAAGGATAAAAGTTCAAGTTGCCTATGATGATTTGTTTGATCAACTGCTTCTCCTATGAGCAGCTCTTTCTAGTGAGCTTCAGGGTGTCAGAAATAACTGAATAATTTACATAATGATTGTGGATAATTCTTCCAAGCTGAATGATAAGGTGGGCTGCTAGCTGATAATAAAGAAAGTCTTAAGTCACACTCTATGGATCCCTTTGTAAGCTCACAGGTCATAATGATCTTCCCTTTTGTGGATTCTAGAATGGAATCAGAGAGGAAGCAAAATGATTAGCAATTTAAGGTTTTAATCTTATGTTGGTCTTTAGTGATTTCATGTGAATTAGTCAAAGGCAACCTATTTTCCGCTATAGTATACATTTCTTTTGTACATTTTTCTTACCAGTCAGAGGTGAGTGTTGATAATTAATGAATGACTAATTGATTGATTGATTGGCTGATCGAAGATACTGAACATAGCTCTTGTGCAGGTTCCAGAAAATGTATTTAGGTTACTGAAATTCAATAAAATAATATTTGTAGTTATCTGGGGATGTAATATATGTGCTTCTGGGTAAAATAATGATAACTTCATTTTCAACATTCTACTCACTTTTTATTGTTCTTTTTCTAAATCAATGTGTTTCAGGAAACAGATTTGCAGTTTCTGAATGAGAGCTAAATATTTTTCCTGACACTATGTACTTGAGAGCATTCCGGAACCATGGATAAAAAAATCCATGAATGAGGGGGTTGCATGTGGAGTTGAAGTACCCAAGCCACACTAAAAGATCGA